TGAACCTCTTCATGTGTCATTCCCTCTCTTTAGTTCTCTGCTCAAATATACTCTCTTTCTTGATAATCCCTTCCAGAATGGTCTCTTTCATCCCCTTATACATCCTGTGTCCCATTTCATTGTCTTATCTTCATTATAGAAATTATAACCATGTAAAGTGACTCTATTCTTTCTTTCTTTCCTTCCTTCCTTCCAATTGAAGCCGGGGTGCTTTACTACTGAGTCACATCCCCAGCCTTTTAAAAAATTTTTCATTTTCTTCAGGGTCTCACTAAATTGCTTAGGGCCTCGCTAAGTTGTCGAGGCTGGCTTTGAACTCACAATCCTCCTGCCTTAGCCTCTGGAGTTGCTGGGATTATAGGCATGCACCACCATGCCTGACAACCTTATTTTCTTAATTGTCTAGTTGTTTAAGGACAGAGATTGCTATTCCAGCGAATAGAACAGTGTCTGGCATGTAGGGATGCTCAAGGAATATTTGTTGAAGTAATACTCTCTTTTGATGATACCGAATGACTCTTCTTTGACTCCAGGTGGGAAGGATGCGTCTCTCCATTTTCCACCTTTTGTGCGCCATTAGTCAAGTTGCTGTCTGTGGTTCTGAGACCCAACACCATGGATCTGTCCTTGGTGCTGACCCAGGCTTCCAGTTTCCTTAAACTAGGGAGGGTGGAGTCATCTTGGGAAGGGGCAGTGTCCCCTGTAAGACCCAGGCATTGAATTGTTTGCATAACTGAGGAAAGGCAGACATCCTGAGTGCCCAAGGGAGGGAGCAAACGGGTCACTGAGAGTTGAGTGGGGATTTGAACTCTCTTTCATCTATTCATATATATGTATGCACTTACACGGTCGTTCCTTAGTATCTGCAGAGGATTGATTCCAGATCCCTCTCTGCCTCCTGCCCAGGATACTGAAATAAGGGGATGCTCAAGTTCCTTATATAAATGATGCAGTATTTGCATATAACCTATGCATATTCTCTTGTACACTTCAAATCATCTCTAGGTTATTTATGATGTCTAACCCAGTGCAAATGATTTATATACGATCTGCAGTTGATCGAATCCACAGATGAAGAATCTGTGGATACACAGGGTTCACTATATATGAGAGCTTCAACCATAGAGAAATGAAGAGTACAATAAACTTCCAGGAATACATTTTAAAATACCTTCTATGCTTCCAGCCACTTCCTCACTTTCTGTGTTATTTAAATGCAAATCTCAGAAATGGTATCATTTAATTATATGTTGTATTTTAAATTATTTGCTTTCTCTTGAGATATGACATACCTAGTAAAATCCACAAGTCTTAAGTGTATAAACTGGTGCAGTTCTACTTATATGTAGATTCGTGTGCCCCCCCCCCCCCCCCCCAGGCATCTCCATCTTCTCAAAAGGTCCTTTTACATCCTCTTCCAGAGATAGCAAGCATTTTGAACTTCTGTCACCAGAGTTTTAAAAATCACAATATGGAAATCCAGAGAACTGGGTTCTAGCCTTGGCTTTGCTATTGACACTATTATTTTTAATGAATATGTCATATGTGCAGAAAGTACATAAAGTACAGAAAGTAAGATGGGCATGATGGCACACACCTGTAATCCCTGCTGCTCAGAAGGTTGAGGTAGAAGAATCGCAGCTTAGCATGTTCAAAATGCAAAAGGGCTGGGGCTGTAGCTCAGTGGTAGAGCACTCCTGGGTTCAGTCCCCTGTACCTCCCCCACCCCCAAATAGAAACAAGTTTCTAAAAGCCTCAGACATGGGTGAGGTCAGGAGGATCTGAAATGACAGGCTCTGTCGAATGTTCCAAGAGAATGGCATTAGCACCTGCTTGGCTTCTGGTGGGGGCCAGAGGCTGCTCCAATTCATGGGAGAAAACAGAAAGGCAAGCCAGTTCATGCCAAGGACACAAGGCACACGGGATGGCCTTGTCCTGTGATAACCCACTATCATCAGAAGGCCTCAGGTTCTCCTTAGGACCTAATCGCCTCTCAAAGGCCCCAAACATTGCACTGGGAATTAGCATTCAGCATGAGATTTGGAGGGGACAGACCTTCTAGGAATGAACTCTTGGGTCATTTTACTAAGTAAAGACCACCAGCCAGCTGAGGGCAGAGGAAACATGGGATGAATAATAGAAGAAGGAAATTAAACACATCAATGGTGTCCTTGAGACCAGTTATGGGTATGCAAGCTGTAGCAGCTACATTTCTTTTCCTTGGCTTCCCCCTTCCTTCCTTTAAAAAATATTTTCTTGTATATGTTCATCTATTAATTTATTTTAGTATTGTTTCTTCTTTCCTTTTATTATTTTATATAAGGATTGTAGGAGATCGTGGCCCTTGTGGTGTTTTTTATTTGTTTATTTTTATTTTTAATTTTTACCACTGAGCTACCTCCCAGTCCTGTTTTGTTACTATGTTTTTTAAAAATATTTTCAGTTGTAGGGGCAGGAGTTGTAGCTTAGCAGTACAGTGCTTGCCTGACATGTGTGAGGCACTGGGTTCCATTCTCAGCACCACATATAAATAAATAAAGGCCTATCAACAACTAAAAAGAATTTTAAAAATATTTTCAGTTGTAGATGGACACAATACTTAAATTAATTAACTAACTTATTGATTAATGTGGTGCTGAGAATCAAATCTAGTGCTTCACACATGCTATAACGCCAGCCCATATTATTATGTTTTTAAATTTTGAGACAGGGTGTCGATAAATTATTGAGGATGACCTTGAACTTGTGATCCTCCTGCCTCAGCCTCCTGAGTGGCTAGAAGTATAGGCAGGCACCACTATACCTAGTTGGTCCTTGTGTCTTGACATCAAAATTTTGTCAGTAGAATCCATGCTTTTTCTCTGCTGTCTCCTTTGCTCCATCAAAACCAAATATTTCCTGCACATTATGAGACAACAGTAATTATTTGCTGAAAGAGTAGTACAAAAAATGGCTATAGATGACCACAAATTAAGATGACAAGACATGTATGTGAATGGGGTAGACAAAAATGAATGGTATGCAAGTTTAACTTCAATCAGAATATAGATAATAAAATATTAAACATTCCCTGGGTAATTCAAAACCAATCAACAAAATGCAGACCATATCTTCTGGATCTTTTAGTCAATCCCTTTCTTTCTTTTCTTTTTTTGGTATTGGGGATTGGACCTGGGGTACTTTACCATGGCATTACATCCCAGCTGTTTTTAATTTTTATTTTGAGAAAGGATCTCACGAAGTTTCCCAGGCTGACCTTAAACCTGCAATCCTCAAGCCAGGCATGGTGGCGTACGCCTGTAATCTCAGTGGCTTAGGAAGCCAAGGCAGGAAGATCATGAGTTCAAACCCAGCCTCAGCAATTTAACAAGGACCTACTCAGTGAGACCCTGTCTCAAAATAAAACATGAAAAGAGGCTGGGGATGTGGCTCAATTGTTAAGCGCCCCTGAGTTCCATCCCTGATACAAACAAACAAACAACAAAATTGCAGTCTCCTGGGTACCACTGCATCTGTTAGTCAATTCTTTTTTGTTTTTAGTACTGGGGATTGAACCCAGAGTTGCTTCACCACTGAGCCACACCCCCAGCCCCTTTTTATATTTTATTTTGAGGCAGGGTCTTGCTGAGTTACTTAGGGCCTTGTTAAATTGCTGAGGCTGGCTTTAAACTTGCCATCCTCCTATATCAGTCTCCCGAGTAGCTGGGATTACAGACCTGCAGCACTGTGACCGGCCCATTCTTTTCTTTAATGTGTTTCCTAAAATTTAAGAGTTCATGTGAGAAGATGACTGACTATTGGAAGTCTTTACCCCTTTGCTCCTTTAGTTGTAATTAAATACATAATTTTTAAGAAAGGCTTTTTGTTTTTCTCTTTGCCTCTTTCTTCATTTGCCTTTTCTGCACCAAAAAAGCTTTCTTTCTATCTATCTATCTATCTATCTATCTATCTATCTATGATGCTGGGGATTGAACCCAGGGCCACACACATATTAGGCAAGCACTCTAACACTGAGCCATGTCCCCAGTCACCCAAGAAAACTTTTTAAATCTCTTAAACCTTTTATGGAAAATAATGTACATATAGAAAGAGCTCAAAATCATAAGCAGACAGCTCAATAAATTCTCAGATCAAGTAATACAATGACTGAGTCCCCAGGAACCTCTGTATTCCCTCTTCTAATCACTAATCCCCGTGGATAATCACTGTTCAGATTTCTAATTTCATATGTTAGTTTTACAAACTATGCCAACAAAGTTTTTTAAAAAAATTTAATTAATTAATTTTATTATTATTTTTTGGTACCAGGGATTGAACCGAGGGCTGCTTAACTACTGAGCCACATCCCCAGCCCTTTTTATTTTATTTATTTATTTTTAAAATTTTAAGTCAGGGTCCTCGTGAGTATTTGCTGAAAGAGTAGTAGGGCCTTGCTAAGTTGCTAAGTTTCTGAGGCTGGCTTTGAACTTGCAATCCTCCTGCCTCATCTTCCTGATCTGCTGGGATTACAGGCTTGCACCACCATGCCCAGCCATTTAATTTAATTTTCAATACTGGGGATTGAACCCAGGGGCATTTTAGCTCTGAGCTACATCCCTGGCCCTTTTAAATTTTTATTTGAGACAAGATCTTGCTAAATTGATGAGGCTGAACAAGAACTTGTGATCCTCCTGCCTCAGCCTCCAGAGTAGCTGGGATTTCAGGTACTCCCATGAGCCACTGTGAGGGGCTGCTGATGATATTAACTGAGACAGCATCATGGATCCTTCCTAGCACTGTGACTGGGTTCTAGAGGAAGAGCCTGGGAAACTGTCACAGGTTCCTGTAGTAATGGCTATTGTCAGAACTGCTCCTCGGGTGGGGCAAGGTGTGACTGTTTCTTGGGGTGCTGGTGACTGGGTCCAGTTTCTTCCAGGCTGGCTAACCAGCCCTGGGCAGGGTGGTGGTAGGCAAGCAGGAGGGAGAGGGAGGTGGATGGTCATGGCCAGAGGGACAGGGGTGCTGCTCTTGTTTTGACATCATTTTCCAGCTGGGGCTGAAGCAGTGAGGAGAAGGAGGTGTACCCTGCCCAACATCCCGGGGTGGGGGGAACTATATGGAGAGCCAGAGGGGTCCTCCCAGAGAACTGACCAGAAGAGGGGCTAGGAGGGCCAGGGTCATGATGTGGGGCACCCGGGGAGGAGCAGCAGCTGTAGGGGTGTTGAAGGCCTGGGTCACGGAGTCCCTGTTGCAGAGATGCCCTTCACAGCAGGCGCCCTGGAGGTCAATGGCTGTCCAGGGGCTGGTGGTGCCCATGGTGGTGCAGGAGGGCCGGTGGCAGGTTCGGATGTACACAGGGACTGAGAAATTGCCTGGGGTGGGCAGTGGGGAGGGATCAGAACCAGAGAGGCAGTTGCACCTGAGCCTCCACCCTAGAGGCCATGGCCAGTGCCGCGACTCAGTCCTCAGACTCACTTCAGTGCTTTCTCCTTTGGCCAGGGCCACGCCTCCTCCCGCAGATTGGGGCTGTCTCCCTGTCAGGCCTGTCTTGTGCCTCTGCCCTGGGACCCGCCTCGCCTCCACATCCCTTGCCCAGGTCCATGCCCCCTTCCAGCCCCTCACCGGTGGTCATTCGGCCATTGCCCTGGAAACAGACGCTCTGGTCCTGGTGACACTGGACCCGTCGGGACTTGTCAGGAGAGCAATCCTCGGGGTGGATGCCCACGCAGGCGTAGCACTCGGTGCCGCTGAGCCTCTGTGGGTCAGGTGCTAACAAGAGAAAGTAGACGCGCATCCAGGCAGTTGTTCCCAGGTTCAATACCGCGGCTGCGCACTGCACCTGGGTGCCCGCCGAGCCCAACGGGGAGGCTGGCGAAGGGGCGCGACCGCCGCGGGTGCTCAGCGGAGGCCACGCCCCACCCGGCCCCTGACCGCCCCGCCCCGCCCTGCTTTCCACCTTGACTCAGGTTGGGGATGACGTCATGGGTCACGAGGTGGTTGTTGCAAAAGTCTCCCACGCAGCCTCGCACCACCGAGAAGTCCGGCGGCAGCGCGTCTTGGTTGGACTGCATGGAGCCGGCCGTGGGTCCCGTCCAGCAGCCCTTCTTTACCAGGGTCACCGGTGCGCGATACCCTGGGGACGCGAGGAGGAGGGGCCTTGAGTTCCTTCTCCTCTCCTAGCTCTCCCTCTCCCCGACCCCCGCCAGGCTCTGCTCCATCCTGCTCCTCCCTCCCTCCTTCCCCTCTTCCCCACCTAATCGTTCCCTCTCCTCTTCCTCCTTTCTCACCTCCTTTTCCTACCTTCTCCGTTGTCTTCTTCCTCCCCATCTCTCTCTTGTGCCCCGTCCACTCTTTTCTCTCTCCCCTCCTCTCTCCATCTGTCCCTATCCTTGGCTGCCTCGCTAGCAATTTCCCCTCCTTTCCTCTTTCCTCGCTCCTTCCCTCCCCCCTCTCTCTCTCTAATTTCTCATTCCCGTTCCTCTCCCCTCTTTCTTTCTTCTTCTGCACGCCCTTCTCCTTTTCTAGCCTCTGTGAGGCCCTCACCAGTGTCCAGGGACAGGACAACCTCAGAGCATCCGTGGGGACAGGAGATACTGGGGAACTTCATGTCACTGAGGTCAAAGGGCCCCGTGTAGGTGTGCTCAAAGCTGTAGCACTGCAGGGCTCCTGAACCTAGGAGGGGCGTAGGGGCGGCATCAGCAGGGCCAGGGCAGGAGCCTTTCCTAGGGACTCAGGGACCACACATGGCCAGGCCCCTCCGCCCAGAAGGAAGCTGAGCCTTGATGCCCTGAGAGAACAGGGTCTGTTATTGCAGCCAGTCATGGTTGGGTCTGTGTCACCGCAGAGCAATGGCCTCTCTGCAGTTTTTCCCTCCAAGTTGTTCCAGGTCTCCACCCTCATCCAGGAAGCCCTCTAAGACTTAGATAAGGGAGGAGGAAGTGATTCATTGCCTCTGTCCATCCCTCCCCAAGTAAGCACGTTAGATACAGTAGCACTAAAAGACTTCCGATGGGAAACAGGTGCCCCAGTTGAAGTCCAGTGAGGTGCAGTTTGGTGTGATAATCTCACACACAGCCAGCCCAGTAACACACGCACAGAACACTAAACACTGAGATAAGGCAAACTGAACTTGACACAGGTCCATGCACATCTCATAAACACAGATGGAATAGCCTGAATGAACCCATGCAGGGTTCTACAGTCTCACACAAAACCAGTGTTCACCTGGACGCCCATTACAAACACTCCAGCCCAAGTCGCAGAACCTCAGGCTTGGGAGTGTGATTTTGTATACATTGTTTTGAGGGATTCAGAAGCACAGGAAATCATACCAAGAGACAGGGAACTACAGACCCAAGAATCACATATATGCAAATAAAACAAGAGACCACAATTAGGCAAAGAGATTATTGAAAATGAGACCATAAATATATACAGTTTAAAATCATTTAGGGGTCCAAGATATATAGACATGCAACAGATGCACACAGAGAAAAATACACACACATGTGTGTGTATATATGGAGAAAGACCCACAAATCAGAGATGCACAGAGACACAGTTACACCTAATTATACGCATCTCTCTTATACAAAGAAAATAAAGTTCGGAGATAAACAGAGCCACAAAAGCATTTTTTAAAATACGCAGACATCAAAATCTGGCACAGAGAAACACACACAAGCACAGAGACCCCAAGGACACACTGACAACACACAGAGCCCACACTCTCTCCAGGGATGCACAGATACACACGTGTGCACAGGAATAGCCTCCTTCCTGCCTCTCTTTCTCTTTGTAGCCATTGCCATTCTGAAATGACATGTCCCCATCCTAGACCAGTTAGGGGAAGAGGAAACCTGAAGATGAGGCCAAGGTCCCTGAGAGTTTGGAAAAGGGCACTGGTGATTCCCCAGAAATACCCTTGAATGTGGGGCTGGGCAGGGAGAGGGAAGGCTGGAGTAATGGAGAAGATAGTTACTGGAGAGAATGACTGAGAAGGGGAAGAAGAGAGAGGAAGAGAGAGAAATGAGTGAACATAGCCTCCAGCCTCCTCCCTGCCTTAGACCCAGGAGTCCAGCCCCAGCCCTCCTCCCCCTGACCCAGAGGTACAGGTCTCAGCCCTCCTCCCTCAGACCCAGGGGGCCAGGCCCAGCCTCCTCCCTCAGACCCAGGGGTCCAGCCCCAGTCTCCTCCCTCAGACCTAAGAGTCCAGGCCCAGCCTCCTCCCTCAGACCCAGGGTCCAGGCCCTAATCCCCCTTCCTCAGACCCAAGGGTCTGGGCTGCAGCCCTCCTCCCTCTGACCCAGCGGTACAGGCCCCCAAACCCTTCTTATATTGGGCTCAGAGGTTGAAGTACCTGTCGGACAGAGCACAGTCCCAAAGAGGCAGAGCAGAAAGGCCCTGGGGACCCCCATTGCCAGAGTGTGGATCTGCGCTGAGACACCCAGGACAACTCCTGCTGCTTGGTTTGCTGTCTGGCTGGTTCTTCTTAATGAGCCCAGGCATCCTGGCTGCCCAGCCTGGCCAGCATTCCTCCACCCCACCCTCCCTTATGTGGGCTGATCTCCTAGGTAATCATGACCTGGCCAGGATGAGTCCTGGGTGCTAAAGGAAGAAGGGATTCCTGTCTCAAGGAAGGAGCTAGGGGTCTGTAAGACTTAATTTGTGGGGCACAGTGGTGGGGTTTGTGGTTTCTTCCTCCCCTCCTCCCCATACTCTATCCTAGTCTGGGAATGGCCTCTTGCCTTCTCTTCTCTTCCCCTACATCAAAACACGCTTCCTGCACACTCAGACACACACAGCTCCCAATCCTGGGGCCACGTCTCCAGATTTAGAGATACACACACATCATCCCCTCCCTGGGGCCATCTCTGACCCTCACCTCCCTGCTCAGCCATCTCTCTTCGGCCTCCAACACCTCCCTCTCTCCCAGCCCTGATCAAACTAGGCTGGGCTGGTGTCTGTCTCTTCCACCAGGCTGTGACCTCCTCAGGGGCCTCCAGGGATAGCTGTGATATTGCAGAATAAATGAGTGGATGAGTCAATCAATTAATCAATCAATACGCAAAGAGGCACAAGAGAGAAAGAAGACATATAAGAGTCAGGTGCAGTGAGTGGCACATGCCTATAATCCCAGTGGCTCAGGAGGCTGAGACAGGAGGATCGCGAGTTCAACTACCTCTTTTTTGGGTGGGGGGTACCAGGGATTGAACTTGGGGGCGCTCAACCACTGAGCCATATCTCCAGCCCTATTTTGTATTTTATTTAGAGATAGGGTCTCACTGAGTTGCTTAGTGCCTCACCGTTGCCGAGGCTGGCTTTGAACTCACCATCCTCCTGCCTCAGCCTCCAGAGCTGCTGGGATTTCAGATGTGCGCCACCCTGCCCAGCTGGATTGTGAGTTCAATCAATCCCAGGGGTCCAGGTCCCGTCCCCCCCCACAACCAGATGTGGACAGATGTAAATGTAGACACAGAGACAAACTCAGAGGGAAAGAGGGATACCTGATGGACGGTACATGACCACAGAGGGTATTTAATGAGAGTTTATTAAATGAATGAAACAGGCCTTGCTTTGTCAGCACAAATCCTAGCATGGGTGAAGATCTGAGAAAGCAGACGGCGCTGTCCAAGGAAGTCTATGGATGGGGAGCTGAGGGGTGGGCTGACAAACTAAGTGAGCTTTCTGCCGGCTCTGATGCTGTCTTTTCTCCCAGGGACGATGCAGACAGAGCTAAGAGCAGTGGGTGGTTTGTGTCACTGTTCCTTCTGGTTCTGTCCCAACAAAGCTGTGATTGAGGCTTTCGATAATCCCCACTTGTACGAATCTGTGGCTCCTCCATCACTGATTTTATCATGTTATTTTAGAGTTTGCTTCTGTGTGGGTGGACAACCGTGTGAAGTTACTATTAATACTGTATTTTGTGGTGGTAGGGATGGAGCCTGGGGCCTCATGCACACCAAGCATGTGCTCTATCCCTGAGCTCCACCCCCAGATCATGTGTGTAATTTTGAAAATAGCTTTAAAAAATTGCATCCTAATGATTGCATAAACGACAAATGAAGTAGCCAGGTGCGGCGGTGCGCGCCTGGAATCCCAGAAACTCAGGAGGCTGAGGCAGGAGGATCACTAATTCAATATTTTGAATTTGTACTTTTCCACTGGGCAATTAGACAATGTCTCAAAATAAAAAAGTTATAAGGGCTGAGGATGTTGCTTAGTGGTAAAGTCCCCTTGGATTCAGTTCTTTTTTTTTTTTTAAGAGAGAGAGAGAGAGAGAGAGAGAGAGAGAGAGAGAGAATTTTAATATTTATTTTTTAGTTTTCGGCGGACACAACATCTTTGTTTGTATGTGGTGCTGAGGATCGAACCCGGGCCACATGCATGCCAGGCGAGAGCGCTACCGCTTGAGCCACATCCCCAGCCCTGGATTCAGTTCTTAATGCCAAAAAACAAAAAATGAAATTAAAAAAATAAAAACACCAGGGAGAGGAATACGCTGGCACTGGAGGACATGCACACAGAATCACATGACACTCCGACGTTAAACAGGTGGGGGTATCTATATGGATGCCCCAGTAGGCTGCTGGAGTTGGGGACAGAGACCTTGAGCTAGGTCTTCTGACCTGTCTCACTTCCTGCTGCCTGGAGATGCTGCTGCCTGGGTCAGACACATCCACACGTGCCAGGTGGGTCAGGTGGACACTGGGCATTGCAGAGTCTGCGGATCATGGACCCACAGATGGATGGAATATCCAGTCAACATGATGGCAGCGACCAAGAGGGCCTTAGAGTCCTCTTGGTTTGACTAAATTTTAGACAGGTCTTCCTGACTCAGGGCCTCCAGTTGCTTAGAGGACTGCTGTGTCTGAATGTGTCCCCCAGAAGTTCAGGTGCTGGATGGAAACCTAAGATGAGGTCATCAGGGTAGGGAACCCGTGACGGCATTAGTGACTTCATAATAAGAGACCTGAGCTAGTGCACCTGCTCTGTTTCACCATGTGATGCCCTTGGACCTTTATTTTATTCATTTATTTACTTGTGGTGCTGAGAATCGAACTCAGTGCCTCACACATGCTTGGCAAGCGCTCTACCACTGAGCCACAACCCCAGCCCCCACCTCGGCCTCTTGTGATGCAGCAAGAAGGGCCTCACCAGATGCCGGTGCCTATTCTTGGGACTTCCCAACCTCCAGAACCATGAGCTAAATAAAACTCTGTTTTTCCCGTAATGTTTTGAACAACCAACAATAAAAAATTAAAAAAAATAAATTAAAAAAAACTCTATTATGTACAAATTAGCTAGTATGTGGTGTTCAGTTATAGCAACAGAAAATGAATTAAGACAAGCACTTGCTTAAGAAAACTTGTCATTTCAATTTCTTTCTCTGCTCCCTTTGAAATGGAGGTGAATCTTTTCTGGCCCCTGGCTGACTTTTCAACCTAGAATTGTCTTCCTTAAGGACCTGGGAGCCAGGTCTGTGAAATATAATCATCAAAGGAGACGGGCCCCTATCTCCCAGTCTTGTGTGAAGTTAGGAGCCTAACTCTGATAAGGGACAATGAGCAAGCACAGTTGGCTCAATCAGAGAGATAAACTTTTGCAACCTCAGGAATAACTCTAAGTCCTGGACACATCCGTTGACCAGCTTCCTTCGGTCTTTCTTCAGTACTTTTCCACTAGCTCTTCCAACATTCAAAAGCCCTCCCACTTTTGTTTCCGTGGACTTGAGTTTATCTTCCCTCCTCTGTGGCAATCTTGAATAACATCTCCCTTGCCTGTTGAACTTCATCTGGTGCAATTTTTCTTTGACGGGAGACACCCAGCCACTGTGGACACTCACAAACTCCCCTGCCCTCATCTTGCCAAATCTCTGTCCCTCCCATCAGGCCTCACTTCCCAGAACCTGTTCAGCACCTAAATTACTCTTCCTGCTTCTCTGGTTCCTGCCCCAGGCTGTCTGTGGGGGGGCCGTCCAGATGGGGGCAGGGTGGACCTTAGGGCCTCTGGAAAGTGGAGTCTTCCCTGGAAGAAATCTGGGTTCTCCAAAGCCCCTGTGGAAAGCGGAGGAGTTGGAGGTCGTCACAGGAGTTCACAGTTTTAGAGATTGAGGTTTATGGAGAAGGCGGACCAATGGTTGGGGTGGATTTTGACTCTGGTAACCTTTAGGAACTTTTAGAGTCTTTCAGGTTATCAGATAGGAAGTTCCCCAATACAGGAAGTAGTGATCACAGGAAACAGTGATTATAAAAACATAATCTTTGGGTTCACAGGGAGCTCAGTGTTCATTGAACATTGAATCTCTGCAACGCAAGATTCCCACCAAAAGCCCTAGCATTAAATGAAATGTATAGGGGGCCATTGGTTTGGAACAGAAATCCTGCACTAAGCCCAAAAAACTCAAGCCAAAATGGACCTAGTGACCATTACTAGTGTCAAAAGACAAAAATTACAATAAATGTAGCTTAAAGATCTTAATGGACTTTATTTGTTGTTCTCAAATCCAGCAAGACTTCATTCCTTAAAATAAAATGAGTGTTCTAATGAGCTGAGCAAAGGAGGTTGACTTTGTACACAGAAGCATTAACAGCAGATAAAAAGCAGATCAGTCGTTTTAAAACAATTGTTCTTTTCTACAGGTTAAAGGAACCTTGTTGGACTGGCTAAAATGGCTTGTTTGGTGAGTTGACTATTAGCTTTGTTTCTCCCGATTTCTTGGAAGGTAAGCTAATTTAATTTCACTTGATAGCATGGGACTTTGGCATGAGTGACTCCATTTTGGTTTGGTCTTCTGGGCTTAGTGCAGGACCTCAATCCAAACTGATGGTCTCCTACATGTTTTATTTAATGCTAGACATTTTGGTTGGCACTTTAGGGTTTGCACACAGCTATACAATGAACCCTGGGCTCCCTATGAACCTAGAGATTCTTTATTATTTCATAATCACTTTTTAGAAATTAAACTTTAGTAATGAAGTCATTAATTACTTAAGAGCTTGGGGAAAACTGAGACCATTTTGGGGTAGCCATTAAGGTACTATTTTAAACATTTTTATTTTAGGAATTTTTAAACACAAGCCAATGTACAGAGAATGAAGTACACATCATGCAGGCTCCACAATTGTTGAAATGTCACTGATCTTGTTCTCCTTTCCCTGTTGGTGCTTGTCAGAGCATTAGGTGTTTTAAAGTGGGGTCCTGTGTTATTTTGCTCAAAATATTAATTTTGCTTAAAACACCATTTAAATGTAGAATTGTCGGGGGCTGGGGCTGGGGCTCAGTGGCAGAGCACTTGCCTAGAATGTGTGAGGCACTGGGTTCGATCCTTGGCAGCACCACATTAAAAAAATAGTATTCTATATACTACAATAAAAAATATTTAAAAAGTAGAATTTTCTTTTTCAGTACAGGGGATTGACCTCAGAGGCTACTGAGTTACAACTCCAGCCTTTTTTATTTATTAATTTTGAGACAGGGTTTCGCTAGGTTGCCCAGCCTAGTCTTGAACATGTGATCCTCCTGCCTCAGCTGCCTGAGTAGCTGGGATTACAGGTGTGTGCCACTGCCCCAGGCTCTCGAAATAATTTTTAACTGATTGTAAACAGTCTTTGTGTCCCAAATAGTTGAGAAATATTCAGTATTTCTTGCCTTATTTGAAACTACTCCATTAATCAAGCATTTCATAATCACAATGATCGTTTAAAATATTAAGCCCTAGTAATGTATAATCAGTTGCTTTCAGTTATGTTCTACATTAACTGTTCTCCGTATATTATCAGAATTGTGGAATTTCCTTCTGGAACTTTAGTCATTACCTTGCCAAAATCTGAATCATGTATATTGTGTGCCAATTTTTTCTTTTGTTTTCACAGATTGTACTGGCAGCATCAATATTTCTTTCTCAAAGCATATCTTAATTTTAAAAATATTTCAGTAGTGTTAAATAAATTCAAATTATTGTGCAACCAACATCTAGAACTTTCCATCTTGCAAAACTGAAACTCTACACTCATTAAACAACAACTCTCCTTTCTCTCATCCACCCTTGCTTAAGTCCCTGATGTCTTAGTCTGTTTTCTGTTGCTATAACTTAATACCATAGACTAGGTGATTTATAAAGAAGAGAAGTTTATTTAGTTCATGGTTCTGGAGGCTGAGAAGTGCCAAAGACCATGGCACTGATATTTGGGGAGGGCCTTTTTGCTGCATCTTAAGGGGCAGAGGGATCACAGTGTGAGACAGAGTGGATGTGCTAGTCACCACCGTCTTTCTTTCTCTTATAGAACCACTAATGCCATCAGGGGGCTCCACCCTGATGACTTCATCTCACCCTAATTACCTTTTAAAGGCCTCACCTCCAAATTCCATTCATATACAAGTTTGGGGATTATATTTCCAACACATGAACTATGTCCACCAACTACAATTTTCTACTTTGTTTCTGTGAATTTGACTACTCTACACACCTCACGTAAGTGGAATCTTATAGTATTTGTCCTTTTGTAACTGGTTCATTTCATTTAGCATATTGTTCTCAAAGTTTATCCATGTTGTAGCATATGTCAAAATTTCCTTCCTTTTAAAGACTGAGTAATATCCCATTGAATGGATATACCATATTTTGTTTATCTATGCATCCATCAATGGACATTTGGGTGTTTTTACATTTTGGCTATTTTAAGTAATGATACTATCAAAATGGTACACAAATATCTGTTTGAGATTCTGCCTTTGAAATGTTTTGGATATATACTATATTGGATCTTCATTTTTAAAATAAGTGAATTTATTTATGGTGCCAGGAATTGAATGCAGGGGTACTCCGCCACTGAGCCACATCCCCAGCCTTATTTTGTATTTTATTTAGAGACAGGGTCTCGCTGACTTGCTTAGTGCCTCATTTTTGCTGAGGCTGACTTTGAACTCCCAATCCTCCTGTCTCAGGCTCCTGAGATGCTAAGATTGCAGGTGTGTGCCACTGAGCCTGGCTTAATTTTTTTTTTTTATTAGAGCATCACCACTATGCATAATAGTGAGATGCATTATGCCAGATTCATACATGCACAAAATTTGATCAATCTTATCCCCAGGATCTTCCCTTCACTGCCTCCCTCCCTCCTCTTATCTACTCTATGCATCTCCTTCTTCTTCTATTATTATTATTATTATTGTTGTTATTATTATTATTATTATTCATGATCTTTATTCTGGACGTGTCACACTATTCTAGTTGCAACCTTCACCTTCTCATTTTCAAATACTATGCTGCTCATCCTCTATAGTTTGAATGCCGTTTGTCCCCCAAGGTTCCTGGGCTGGAAGCCTGGTCCCTAGTGTAGCAGTGTTGAGGTGGTCCGGCCTCCTGGAGGTTAACTAGGTCACGGGGGCTCCACCCTCTTGGACTGATTAATGCTGGAGGGGGTTCGACCTTATCTGACTGGATTAGTTCTCATCCACGTGGGTTGTTACATAGAAAATCTACTCTGTCTGCTTGACGCTCGTGCGTGAGGCTGGTTCCCTTTCTGCTTCTCTATCATTGACAAAAAACGGGGCCCTTGCCAGAACACTGGTGCCATACTGTTTAAACCTTCCACTCACTGGAATGTGGGTCTTAAAAAAACTTCTTCTTTTCTTCTTCTTCCCCCTCCTTCATTTTCCCTCCCAGTACTGGGGATTGAACCCAGGAGCTTGCACATGCTAGGGAAGCTACATCCCTATCCCTTAAAAAATAATTTTTTTGTATTTTTTTGAGACAGGGTCTCAGTAAGTTGTCCAGGCTGGCCTCAAACTTGTGACCCTCCTACCTTAGCCTTCTGAGTAGTTGGGATTACAGGTGTTCACCACTGGGTCTGGCTAAATCTCTTTATATTTCTTTTTTCTTTCGTGTTTTGAACCCAGGGTCTTGTGCATGTGAGGCAAGCACTCTACCAACTGAGCTATAGCCCCAGCCCTTTATATTTCTTTATAAAGGACCCAGCCTCAGGTATTTTGTCATAGCAACATGAATTGACTGAGACATCTCTATTGTTGCCGTAGACTCTGAGGCCAAGATTAGCATACAGGACTTCAAGACCAGTAGCTGAAGAAGGGATTTAAAGAAGCTAGGTTAAATCGAGTGTGAAGTTGGGCTGTAAATCTGTCCCAACAAAGGGCCCAGTGTGCCCCAGGGAGGGTGCTGGCACTGGGCATGTGGACTCTCACCTACTACAGCAGGCTGACAGTGGCAGCAGCTGAGAGTATCCTTGGTCCTGAAAACATCTCAGAGTGAAATCATAGCACCCACCTCCTCCCACCACCCACCACCCACCACCCACCTTAGTTTTTGTGTATTTTTTCCACTTCCAGAGCTCAAAATAAGGATGAATTACAGGATATTTTGAGATGAAATAAAATGCTTATTCTTACCATTTCTTGGAGGTTAAACATTCTTTTTTAAGTGAAACTTCTTTTTAAATAATATTTTTTAGTTGTCAATGGACCTTTATTTTTTAATTTTTTCAGGTTTAACATTAAAAATTTAAGAGTTTAATATTTGAATTAGATGGCTGGGTATCTGGATTGGCTGGGGTTGTGGCTCAGTGGGGGAGCACTTGCCTAGCAGGGGTGAGGACTGGGTTCGATTCTCAGCACCACAGATAAATAAATAAAATAATTAAATAAAGGCCCATCAACAACTAAAAATAAATAAATAAATAAATTCTTCATTACCCCCACTCCCTTGTCCAGGCACTTCTTGAAAATGTTCCTTCCTGGTTTACACGAGGTGAAAGGTAGAGTATGTTCTGTCATTAATGAATCTGTGCTATGTTTGGCCAGAATAGCAAATGTGGGGGAAAAATTTCCTCTGTCATCTTATTTTCTCAAAAAAATTTTCAATGATCCAATTGATTTTATAATTGCTTTCCATTTTCTGATCTTAATTAGTTTTCCTTCTTGATAGATATCAATAGGATTACTACTTTATCTTAGAATTTCAACATCTTAAAATAATATGTAAGTAACAAGTCATTAGGTTTCAGTAATAGCTTATTTTTATGCTGATGAAATTTCTAAAATGATAAGACAATTGCTATAATAATATAACAAACTGGTTATTGCATAATCCCGATTTCTGCCCACTCACATTCTTTATGGATGATTAATGGTAATCGGATATTAGTTAACATATAGTGATTCATGCCAAGAAAAAGACTTGTAGATTTAAATTTGGAATTTAACAATTCCAGTCTGGCAGAGAAAACAAGTAGCTGGAAATATGAACTGCAACATGAAATATCAAATACAACTGATATGCAGACCCTGGAAGGGGACTGTTTTCCTTAAAAGATGTTTTTTAGGGGCTGGGGTTGTGGCTCAGTGGTAGAGCGCTTGCCTAGCATGTGTGAGGCACTGGGTTTGAGCCTCAGCACCACATGAATGTAAAATAAGGATACTGTGTCCACCTAAAACTTAAGAATAAATAGTTTTTAAATTTTTTTTTTGAGAAGAGAGAGAGAGAGAGAGAGAATTTTAATATTTATTTTATTTTTTTTTAGTTTTCTGCGGACACAACATTTTTGTTTGTATGTGGTGCTGGGGATCGAACCCAGGCCGCACGCATGCCAGGCGAGCGCGCCACTGCTTGAGCCACATCCCCAACCCGAACAAATATTTTTTAAAAATAAAATAAAGGTATTGTGTCCACCTACAACTAAAAAATAAATGTTTAAAATGTTAAAAAAAAGATGGTCTTTATCAGGTGCAATAGCAGCTCCTTGTTTAGAAGCACCAGCTATTTTAGATGATACAAGCAAGGTCTTTCCATTTCCAAACTGATGCAATGGTAGCCATCAACCCTGTTGGAACAAAACACTCTACTGCCACCTGCTGGAGACAGTTGCAACATACTACAAATCATATGGGCTTTGCAAATAGCAAAGAGATAACACAAGACACAAACATTTCCAAATATTTGTTTTCAAGATAATAAAGATGCCTGCACTGATAATGGTACCTCCTTAGGTCTAGGGTTCTTGTGCAGTGCCCTACATAAACAACGGTATATGGTGATAGTGGAAAGCTTCACACAGGTGGGGCAGATGTGAGGGTTGGGTTGGCTCATGACAAAGCAGAAGACAGAAGGCTTTTAGGGAAAGACCCACAGTCAACAGTAGCAGGACTTGGGAATTAAGTAGGAGTGGGTTTTAGGACCATCTGAAGGGATGGTTGGGGTCATAAGGAGGCAAATCAAGTTAGTAGGTGTTGACGGATGACCATCAGTTGTGGGCCAAGAGACTCAGGCTCTAACCTGCATTTGCTGTGTCCTTGGGAGAGTCCGACTCCCTGAGCTTCTTTTGCGCACTCTTTCTGGAAGTGTTGCCTTCTGCCCTCTCAGGTCTTAGAATAATGGGTCCGGGACACAAGGGATCCAAGGAATGGTGTGTTCTCACTGCAGTTTTTGTTGCAGCAGCCAGGGGGAACTTGGCCACATTCTGGTCACCCTGGTGTCGCACACACCCACGGGCAGGTGAGGACTAGGGGCCTTAGATAAATGCTGGGAAGAATATGCAGAGGGTCTCTTGACCTGGATTCCTCCATTTCTATCCACAGCCTCCTGAAAGCTCCCAGCTGCCTTTAAATCCCACACCTCTTTGCCTTTTCCAAGGATTTACATTGTCCACCCCTTTCCTACCCTCCTCTCACTTGTATCCTCCGTTTCCCTCACTGCCCTTCACCCCCTCCTGGCACATCCTTCTACCCCCACTTCTCCTCCACTTCTCTACCATCATCCCTGCCTCCCTCACACTCCAACCCCGCCCTCTCCCACCACTTCTTTCCTTCCTCCAGCTCCCAGCCCCTTCTACTACCCCTTATAACTCCCCGCCTTTCCTCAGCCTCTCTTCCCCTCACTTCCCATCCCTTCTTTTCCAAGTTCATTCGACTATAGAGTGTTGAAGCTAGATTAGTGTGATTCATAAGGAGGTCAGATAAAATATGGGATGCTAATTTCCATTTGAATTTCTGGCAAACAATAGATAATTTTCAGTAAACTATGTACCAAATGTTTCATGGTGCCTCCTTATACTAAAGGGCTAACTGTTGGGGCTGAGTGTATAGCTCAATGGTGGAGCACATACTCAGCATTCATGAGTACCAGAAAAAAAAAAATCCAAAAATTCTTTGTTGTATATCCAAATTCCAATTTTGTTAGGTGTTCCTGTGTTTTTATTTGCTACATATGGTAATTCTGTTCCTGTCTCTCTCAGACTGGTATCCCTAGAGATACTACAGCTCTCAGGCAGTCCAGGTTCCCCACTCTGCCCAACTTAGTTCTTCAACAGTCACCCTGGGTTCCCCTGTTCCCCATAACCCAGCAACTAAACGGTTCTCACCAGGCAGTGCACTGGAGCTACAGGACATTACTCCAGCTCCATAAGGACTACTGGCTCTATTTGGTTGGGGCCTGACTTAACTCCATTTTTACTGCTATAACAAAATACCCAAGGCTGGGAAATTTATAAAGAAAACAGGTTTACTTAACTCACAATTTGGGATAATTTTTTAATTTACCACATCCACTTGCTTTAGACATGTAAATTTTATAGAGACAAAGAGAAATCAATGAGGATATGATGGGGGAAAATGATCATGTACCCTCTTAAGTTTTTGGCATAGGTACAGTTCTCTACAGGGCTTTCCATGATACAGTGGTAAGTTTCAAGTGTTTTCACTTGGCCATTTATACCATAATCACCCTTAATTCACAGGTTCAGAAGCCATCGAGGTGAATTCTACCAAATGATGAAGTGCATCTATCCAAAATATATATTAAAAGGTGGAGGAAAATAAATTAAAAGGTGGAGGAAAATAACCACAGGGTGGATTCATGCACTCATGGACCTCATTGTGAGATGGACTTGGGCCAAACTTGGGTAAACAATCAACTCGAAGTCCTAGTACAAGGGTCTGCTTCCGAGAACCTCCCCTGGAAACAAGCCTCTTGGCTTATGTTCCCCACAAGGAGAACACTGAGAAGTTTCTGCGCTGTTTTCTCAGGCAGTACCATTCTGGGGAAGCTGACATAAGGGAGAGCAGGGGAGGGCGTTGGAGATTGTCTGCCTGAGCTGACCACTGCTAGCTGTCAAGTGCGATTCAAGAAGGGAGATGAATTTAGCCACTGGCTCCTGTCACTCATGAAAGGTTCCAGACAGCACGAACTTGCTGTGCTTCCAGGTTGTGTTTGTCCAGGAGTTCAACGGGTTCTCTGAAGTGTCAAGTGCTGGCATCCACAGGGAAGCCCCAGGGCTTAAGGAAGAGGTGCCCAGTGCAGCCTGAGGTCAGGGGCTGCTGCTGCTGTGCCCATGTGGGCTGGCGTGAGTTCACATAGTGTTGGTTGCTGCTGCAGAGAAACAAGAGAAACGAGTTTCAGACTGGGTGTGGTGGGGCACACCTGTAATCTCAGACTTGGGACATGAAGCAGGAAGATCACAAGATCAAGGCTAGTCTGGGAACTTGGTGAGACCTTGTTTCAAAATAAAAACTAAAATAGGCTGGGGATGTACCTCAGTAGTAGAGCGCCCCTGGTTTCAATCTCCCCCCAACCTCCAATAGAAACAAGTTTCCAAAGACCTCAGGCCCAGGTAAGGTCAAGAGGATCTGAAATGACAAGTAAATGACACATGACATGAACCCTAATTAAGCTCTTTCACACAGTTGCCTAAACCTGGTGATTAGGATTTAAATTCTAAACTACTGATACTATGTCATTGAAAGCTGGCTGTCTACTAAAAGTTTCTTCTGTCAATGTAGTTATAGCTTGCCAGGAAAATGACTGTTTCATAAGTTTTCAAGTTTATTCTAATTTTTAAAATTATTTCTGTGTTCTTTTCTTTCTTTTTTTTTTTTTTTTTTTTGCGGAACTGAGGATGGAACCCAGGATGCCAATGCTTTACCACTGAGCTACATCCCCAGCCCTTATTTTTTTTGAGACAGGATCTCACTAAATTGCTGAGGCTGGTCTTGAATTTATGATCCTCCTGTCTCCTGAGTTGCTGGGATTATGGCATGCACCATTGCACCCAGCTGCTTCTTTGGTTTTCAAGAAATCAAGTTCCTGTATTAACTTCTGAGTGAAACAATTGAAATTATTTCTCATTCCTTCTTGAACCTTGAGTAATAAAGAGGTACATAAAACAATAGTGTCTTCTACAATCAGTGGCACCTTAGATTTGTTGAAATATTTTACATACATTGATTGCTAAAACACACTTTCTGACTTGTTCATTTATTTTAATATGGATGGTTTTAAAAATTATATTATTTAAACCTAAAAGAATGATGTAGGAGTCTTATTTTGGGGGAGGTGGATACCAGAGATTGAACTCAGGGACACTTGGCCACTGAGCCACATCCCTAGCCCTATTTTGTATTTTATTTAGAGATAGGGTCTCGCTGAGTTGCATAGTTCCTCGCTAAGTTGCTGAGGCTGGCCTTGAACTCGAAATCCTCCTGCCTCAGCCTCCTGAACTGCTGGGATTACAGGTGTGTGCCACTGTGCCCAGCAAGAGTCTTATTTAAAAGGTGTAAATATTCAAAATATTGGACTTTTGTAGTTATTTAGTCACATTATTTAAAATTTATATGCCATCTTAAATATATATCAAGGCCTTTTGGTGGGGACATGAATGTAAGTTTACAAAGACCCCTGATAGAAGAAACCCAAACAATCGCCCATGGGATAAAGTTTCAACTTTAAACATCTGTTAGGACTGTGGAGTGTTGAAGCTAGATTAGTGTGATTCAGAGGACTAACTAGCAATCCTCCTGCCTTTGCCTCCTGAGTGCTGGGACTAATAGCAGGTGCCACCACCCTACTACAAATCTGTTATAACAGAACTTTCAGGTGATTCTGGTGCATGCTAAAGTGTGAGAACCACTGAACTGAAGTTTCTTGGCAGTGCCAGATTCTTCTATTTCACCCCATCCTGATGCAACATTCCTGGTTGGGAGGAAGAGTCAAAGAATTTGTGATCCTCCTGTTTCAGTTTCTTGGATAGCTGGGATTACAGGCATGTGCCATTGAGCCAGGCTTGATCCAAATAATTATATAGCAGCATGTTAATTATCTCCTTCAAGGGCAGTTGGGATTAATAATTAAGATGCACAGCCATTACTTCCTTGAATTTTTCTGGGTGACAATTGAGACAAATAAAAGTTTGATGTCCTCACAGTAAAATTCAAAGTTTTATTTTAGTATTTGGCCTTGGTATAAATTTTCACTATAAAACTCAGTAACTCAAGCCTTACTAGATCATATGGGCAGTGCTTTGTGCCACATGACTTGACTTCATCTGTAACTAACCACCTTTGCTTTCTTGCTTCGTTCCCCCTTGATGTCAATGAAATAACACAATTCTGTTTCCTTCTTCTTAGTCTCTGTGGCTGGTTCCCACTTCTTCATTTCCTACTTTGCCAAAAGTTTTGTGTCAGGAATAATTGTTGAATGTTGTCAAAATCCTAATTTTATTTATGGAATAATCATGATAATTTCCTTTAATCTATTTTGGTGAGTGACATACCTATATTTCCTGATGTTAAACCAACCTTGCATTCCTAGAAAAACTTCAATTTAAATTTAGTTTTTCTTTTCTTTTTTTTTTTTTTTTTAAAGATTGCTTTTTAGAGCAATTTTGGGTCCACAACTTAACTGAGCAGAAGGTACTGGGGGGATGCCCATAAACACCCTTGCCTCTGACACACACAGCCACTCCAGTATCAACATCCTGCATTGGAGTGAGAAATTTGTTACAATCAATGAATCAGCACAGACACATCATTATTACCTAAAGTCCATAGTTTACAGAATGTACAGTCTATGGGTTTGGATAAATGCATAATGCCATGTATCCACTATTATGATATCATATAGAGTAGTGGCACTGCCCTAGCAATCTTCTATGTTCTGCCTATTCATACCTCCCTCTCCCTCTAATCTCTGGCCACTGTGGATATTTTTATTTCCACAGGTTTTCCTTTTCCAGAATGTCAAGTGGTTGGTATCACATAGTATGTAGCCTTTTCAGATAGGTTTCTTTCATCTAGTAATACACATTGGAGGTTCCTCAGTGTCTTTTTATGCTGTGATATCAGCTCATTTATTTTTAGTGCCGAATACTGTTCCATTGCATGGATTTACCACAGTTTATTTTTCCATTTCCCTACTTAAGGACATCTTGGTTACTTTCAAGTTTTGGCAATTCTGTGGTGGTGGACACCTGAAATCCCAGCAAACTGAGACACTGAGGCAGGAAGATTGCAAGTTCAAAGCCAATCTGGGGAACTTAGAAAGGCTATCTCAAAATAAATAAATAAATAAAAAAGGCCTTGGGATGTGACTCAGTGGTGGAGCACCCCTGAGTTCAACACACAGCACACACATACAAACATTAAAAAAAAAAATCTCAAAGTTTTGGCAACTATGAATAAAAAATGCTATGAACATGCATATGTAGATTTGTGTGAACATGTTTTCAACTAATTTGGGTAAATGTCAGAGAGTGCAATTGCTGGATTGTAATGGTAAGAGAATGCCTAGTTTGCAAGAAACTGCCAAACTGTTTTCCAAAGTGGCTATACCCATTTTGCAATGCTAGCAGCAATGAGACTTCCTGTTGCTCCACATCCTCACCAGCATTTGGTGTTGTTAGTTTTTTGGGTTTTATCTATTCTGATAGGTGTGATAATCTCATTTTACTTTTAAAATTCTCTATGACTCATGCATGATATTGAGCATCTTTTCAAGTGCTTATTTGCTAAATCTGTATCTTTTGTGAGGTGTCTCTAGATCTTTTGTCTATTTTTTTTTAAGTCAGGTTTTAATCTCTTATTGTTGAGTTCTTGGTACATTTTGAATAATGGAACTTTGTTTGATATGTCATTTTTTTCCCAGCATGTGGCAAATCTTCTCAATCTCTTGACAGTGTCTTTAACCCAGAAACTTTAATTTTAATGAACTCCAGATTTTTAATAATTTCTTTTACAGATCTTGTCTTTGGTGTTGTATCTAAAAATTAATGCCAGATCCAAGATCTTGCACTCAGATTTCTCTTCTGCAATATTCTAGTAGTTTTTATAATTTTGAATTTACATTTAGGTTTTGATCAATTTTGAGTCAATTTTTGTAACTGGGTATAAGATCTATATCTGGGTTCTTTTCTTTCTTACATGTGGATACCCAATTGTACCAGCATCATTTGTTGAAAGGACTACCTCTTCTTTATTGTACTGCCTTTGCCCCTTTGTCAAAGATCAGTTGACTATATGAGTCAATTTCTGAGGTCTCTTTTCTACTCCATGGATCTATTTGCCTGTTCCTTTTTTATCTTTTGGCAGTGTTGGGGACTGAACCCAGAGCATCATGCATGCTAAGCAAATGCTCTACTACTGAGCTATACCCCCATTTCCATTTGCCTATTCTTTTGCCAATACAACAACTGGACCTTGATTACTATAGTTTATAGAGTCTTGAAATAACTTAATGTTGGTCCTGTGATTTTTTTCCTTCTTCTATATTGTGCTGACTATTCTGGGCCTTATGCTTCTCCATATAAATTTTAGAATCAGTTTGTCAATATCCACAAAATTGCTGGAATTTTGACTGAGATTTCATTGAATCTAGAATCAAGTTGGAAGAACTGGCATTCTGACTATACTGAGTTTTTCTATCTGTGAACATGGAATTTCTCTCCACTTATTTGTTCTTTTTTGATTCATTTTATTGGTCTTTCAGTTTCCCTCATAGATCTTGTACATATTTTGTCAGATTTATAACTAAGTATTTCATTTTGGAGAGACAATAATATTAAGATAGTATGTCTTTAATTTCAAATTCCACGTTAACCTTATATGATAAAACCCAGTTATAATCTTTTATTAGTTTTAGGAGCTTCGTGTGTTTTCCTTTTTTTGTGTGTGTGGGGGCATACTGGGGATTGAACTCAGAGGCACTCAGTCACTGAGCCACACCCCAGCCCTATTTTGTATTTTATTTAGAGACAGGGTCTCATTGAGTGGCTTATCACCTCGCTGTTCCTGATGCTGGCTTTGAACTCTTGATCCTCCTAGTGTGTCACCACACCCAGCCTCATCTGGTTTTATCTCCATTCCAGATAGAAAAAAGGAGACCATCAGACATGTCAGAAGAATAGGGTCATTATTGACAGATGCAACAGAGAAATCAGGCCCTGCTTAGAAAATGGAAGTGACATTTTGTATATTTAGAATGTAACAAAACGTGTTAATTATTACTTTTTAAAAATAAGGCAAGTAGTTATGTGGTGAATAACTACATATAATGTAGTCTCAGAAAGGTTCTTTGCCTTACCTGACCTATAATCTAGTACATCTGACTTCCTAATTCTGGCTGTGTTTCAATCCACATGTCTTTACAAGTGGAAAGCTATTTCTTAACCCAGGGCTCTCCAAACTTATCTGCTCAAGTCCCTTCAATATTATAGAAGAATGGGAGCCTACCTCAGCCACTTCATGACTTCATGTTACTTTGATTTCTTCTTTCTTTTTAAAAGTTATACTTCTGCCGCGCGACCAGCACGCTAGCTTCATACTAGAGGTTCCAAACATAGAAGTTAACTAGTGAGATCAAAATAAAGATACATAATCAATTTACCTTTTTCTTGCCCAGGTAAGAGACGGCTTCTCCCGGCTCCTGCCTCCAGCCACCTGGCGGTATCGAGGTTTACACAAGAGACCAGCAGGAAAGAGGAAGATGCATGCCAGAGAGTGGGCTTTTATTGGGGAACAAAAAATTCAGGGGAAAATTCCATCCAATGAAGGTCGAGGGGGACAGCATTCCAAGGTCAGGGTCAATGATTGGTTTCCAGGTCAATGGTCAGTCACACCCCCACACGGACAAGCCCTCCCACCTGGAAAGGGTGGGGAAGGCTCTGACACAGCTGGTCTGAACGCCTGACACCCAGTCAGGGAGGTAGACCAATCACGTGCGAGAATGGCTTCCCATATATACTGATTTGCACTCTTTCCAGAAAACATCTTTGATTCAGAATACATATCTAAATAATACCAGATAAACTGCAAATCTTTTTCTGCATCTTAAACTTGATGCTACAGTAAGATGTAGCCAGGTGCACACGCCTATAATCCCAGTGGCTCTGGAGGCGGAAACAGGAGGATCCCAAGTTCAAAGTCAGCTTCATTAATGGCAAGGCACTATGCAATTCAGTGAGACCCTGTCTCTAAGTAAAAATACAAATTAGGGCTGGGGATGTGGCTCAGTGGCCGAATGAACTCTTACTTCCTATGTGTGAGCTTCCTTCTTTACTCTTTCTCCACCTTTGCACACTTCAGAGGGACTAGTTAGATTGGATCTTTTAAAAGGGCTAAGGTATAGCTCAGGTAGAGTGCTTGCCTTGTATCTGCAAGGTCCTGGGTTCAATCCCCAGTAAAACACACACACACACACACACACACACACACACACACACACACAAAGTAACTGGGCTGGGGTCATAGTTCAGTGGTAGAGCCCTTGCCTAGCATGTGTGAAGCACTGGGTTTGATTCTTGACATCACATATAAATAAGTAAAGGTCCATTAAAAACTAAAAATTTTTTTTTAAATTGTAATAACCCAATATATTTTACAGATAATGTAACCGCAGTTTATTGCCGCTCACAATCACAACACACAACCACAGTTTTCCACATAGTGGCCAATAGTCAGGTAATTAAATTCATACCAAATTAGATAACATTGAACAGTTTTTTTAAAAATCACAGCTGGACAGTGATCCATTTTCATGGTCACCATGGTATGCAGACCAAGAAATGTCTACTTAAAAAAACATCTCACAGGGGCTGGGGTTGTGGCTCAGTGGTAGAGTGCTCGCCTAGCATGCATGAGGCACTGGGTTCGATCCTCAGCACCACATAAAAAATAAAGATATTGTGTCCACCTAAAACTAAAAACTAAATTAAAAAAAAAATCTCACAAATACTGAAGTCATCTTTGGTTACAGATATTAACAGAAAGAATCTTACAGATCTCTTCAAGTCTCTCGGTCCTAGAGACCGTCGCACAAACCCCCAGTCATTGCATTCTTTCACGACCCCGGTGTGACCTTCCACCAGCGGGACGTGATCTCTAACCCCGAAAGAAGCCAACTCACAAGGGCGGGAGCTCAGACACTAACCATTAACGTAATTCCACACAGGGTCCCGACAGCGAATTCACCAGCTCAGGCCATGACACAGCCATCTGTTCAACCGCCAGGCACCGCGCAGGTAATCTAAGGCCCCCAGGTAATCTCGAGGTCTCCCTCAGGCCATTCCCTTGGACTTCACTCAGCCCTAAGTCCTCGGACGCCCCCATTCCCATCTCTACCCGCTCTGGACTCCAGAATGCCTTCCTCAGCCTTTGCTGGGAACATTTGGCTTCTCTCAACCACATCAAAGACCACGGAGCCGTGAGGCTCGCCCGAACCCGGAACAACGCACCGGCACGGACTCGGGACAAGCGCTCTCACAAGCCAGCCGAATTGCATGCCGGGAGCATTCCTGCCGCCCGCGCTCCAACTTCCGGGGGCGCTCAGGCTGCGGACTACATTGCCCAGAAGTCTCCGGGGCATAGAGCTTTTGGGGGCGGGGTGAGTCTCCATGCCGAGAACAAGTTTATGATCCAATTCCCAGCCTGCGAGGGTTTCCCGGTTCTAATTTCCCATAAGCCTTCATGTCCACACTAACCTCGGTCTCAGGGTCCCTTTCCAGTGTCCATAAGGTTCTCGGACTCTGCGTGCTGAGTCGGTCGCGTCCGAGGAAGTAAATCAGCGCCGGGTGACCGGGAGGGCTCAGCGAGCTGTAGCGGAGTCGGATCTGAACTGGCAGCGAGGGTGCGGGTGACACCCGGGAGTTGCTGGAAGTAAAAAGGCCGGGACAGCTTGTTGTGTCCAGAGCCTCAAGCCTGCGTGCACGCGAGCAGCTGAACTGGATGGTGTGTGACAGACGGCGTGACAGGGCTGAAAGGTGACTCCGTGATGGTGAGTGCGACGGGGTGTGATCTTATTCGAAGGTCTGGTTTACTTTGGCCACGTGCTCTAGGTTATCTTTAGGCTGTCTTTGAGCCTGTTACAGATAAATGACCACAAGAAAGTCTGAGTCCTTGAAAAGAGACTTAGTTCTGCAGGTGACCACATGACAGGCTCCTGGAAAGATATGATAGGGAAGTCCTGGAGGTAGGATCCTAAAAGAGGTGCTCCAGGAGCTCTTTAGGTACCAGCTACATATATCAGAGCTGCTTGCAAGCAGACCTCTATCCTGAGAATTCCTATCAACTCAGAGATAAGACTCCAGTCTCCCTTTTAATTGTGTGGATGAAGGCAGATGTGGCTCTCGAAGTTGTTTTTCTTTTTTTTCTTTTTCAGTTTGTGCTTGGAGAAATGCTAGTGTCTTACTATGATTCCTGATTTTTGACCAGTGTTGCCAGGTTCCTAAAAAGTACTGGGGGAGGAAGAAAGAGAATTTTTTGCATATTTAGAAATCAAGATTCAGATGACTTTGCATTTTCTTTCTTTTTCATATTATTACTTTTGCTTGATTAAAAGAACATTTACTTTACTTACCTGGAAATATCTTGACTAGTATTGTCAGTCTGAGTCTCCCTTCTGGACAGTTACCCACCATGTGCATACACACAGTCCCCTGATCTTTAGCCATCTGTTTTATTAGCCATCTGTTTAACTCTTTTAGTGAATTCTAACGTTATAGAAATATACCTCCTGGAGATTCATGTTAGAGCTTTATTTTAGAATATGAGTACCATTCAAATACTGGTACCGTGTACAAACTTAAAAAAAAATCTTTTCCACAGTTATGATTTAAGGTAAGGCAAGGTAGGAGGGTTTTAAAGGAAGGCAAGATTTCAGCCAATAAGTGACAATATTGTCTGTTTTTAGGAGTACAAACATGATTGAGCTTTGAGTACAGGGATTTACGGTTTGCACCAACAAGGGTAGGGACTTTCAAATAATCTGTAAGTAAAAATCTGTAATGTTGTCAAACATGAGTTGTTTCAGGTTCAGCTTTTGTGATTTGTGAGAGACAGTATTGTGTTGTGGTAAGAGTAAGGGTATGGATCCAGACTATCTGTAATCAGATCCCGGTTCTGCATGTTGTTAGCTGCATGGACTTCTGGACAATTGAGTCAGCTCTTATCTATTCACCTGTTTGGAGCATTTCTTGGAGCCCAGTTGATTATGACTGACACATCTACAAAATTCAGACAAAATAATATCTACTTTATGGGGTTGTAAGGATGTCAAATGAGTTAATATGTGTAAAGCTTTTTAGAACAGAGTCTGCCCCATGATATGAGTTTACTGAATATTGAAAATTATGACTCTAGATCATTCTCCATCAACTTGTTATAGATCAGGAACAACAGAAATAAGAAGCTGATCATGATGAGTGCTTGCAAGTTAAAAAAGTTGCCAGAAGCTCAAATGCTCTAAGACAGGAAATCTTAGACTGAGGGTTTCTTATTCCATTGATAAGGTTCCTGGTGACCATAAACCTTTCAAAATTAAGACCAATTTTTTTCTAAGTATTTGTAAATGTGTTTTTGTAAGTGGGAAAACATGTCTATAATTTCACGAGACTGTCAAATGTGCAAAAATATCTGGCTGTGTTGGAACAAAGACTCTGGGAGCTAGGAAGGACCATATATAAAATTTGTGTCCTTTAATATGGAAATAGTTAAGTAAAAAGCAGTATATCTTGTGATAAAATATTATGTACCTAGCAAAAATTATGTTTATAAATAATCAGTAAGAAGGAAAAATATAAATGATATAATATTAAGTAATCATTATAATCATGAATAAAAAGTACTCAAGAATATAAGTTATATTTGAATACCATTCACTAAATCAGGGTTTTAAAAGACTATCTTTAATTTACCATATCCAAAAGTTATTTTAATTAGTAATCCAGTGAAAGACAGAGGTATAGTCACATTTATTGAGCATCTATTGTGTACCAAATACTATTCTGTTTATGTGCATGTATTTTGTTACACAGACTTTGAAGGTGGCTTACCTACTTCATTTTGACAGTGAACGTGTCATTGTATTGATGAGGGACAGCTACAGGAGGCTCAAGAGCTGGTAGGTATAATTTGTTTCACTGATTTTCAGTGTTAGTGCTGTTTTAGTTCCTTTAATGACTGAATACACTTCTTCTATCATTCAGTTTATTACCTTTGGAAATGTCTTTATATTTCTCATTATGGATTAATGAAAAAAAATAATAATCCAGGAGATAGAGATCTCTGAGAAAGAAATTAAAATTATGTCTCTAGAGTTAATCATTCTTAATATTTTATTGTATTTTTATTCAAATCTTTTTTCCTATGAGCTTATGTCTGGTTTTGTTTCACAGAATAAAATCACAGTAATTGGTGAATAAATGAGTTGAAGGCTATTTATATTTTAGCTTAAAAAAGAAATCTAACCCAGATGTGGGTTTTATTTTAACTGTATAATAAAGAGAAAGAGAGGGACGGGGGAGGAAGCATCAGTGATTCCTTTCTTATTTGAAAACCTTCAGGTACTTACAACACTTAGGATTATAGAAATACCATTTAAAAATTACCAGGCTCCTGAGTGTCTCCATGTGGGTTGGTATTTCTGTTTGGTCATTTCAGTGTAGCCTTATATTATGGAGTCAGTTTCCTTCAGAACAGGCGTTCCATTGAGAGCTCCTTAATGGGAATACAAGATGGAATACGTGATTATCTTTAATCTACTGCATTGTTTATTAAAAAGTAATAATACACCAGGCGCAGTGGTGCATACCTGTAATCCCAGCAGCTCCGGAGGCTGAGACACAAGGATCATGAGTTCAAAGCCAGCCTCAGCAAAAATCGAGGCACTAAGCAACTCAGTGAGACCCTGTCTCTAAATAAAATACAAAACAGGGATGGGGATGTGGCTCAGTGGTCAAGTGCCCCTGAGTTCAATCCCTGGTACCTCCCACCCTTCAAAAAAGTAATAATTTGGGCTGGGGTTGTGGCTCAATGGTAGAGTGCTCACTTAGCATGTGCAGGATGCTGGGTTCGATCCTCAGCACCATATTAAAATAAAATAAAAAAGTATTGTGTCCAATTACAACTAAAACAAAATATATATATTTTTTAAAAGTAATAATTATGTGAAGAAGAAAAAATTAGTTACCAAGGCAACACAGATGTTTGGGAATTATTTTAAGGGTTACTTCCACATAGCAATAATCTCCAACATTAAGTTATTTTACAAAAATAAAATGTTTAAGGATAGATATTAATAATAGAAGGTAAGGTAAGAAGGACACAGTTGTAAATATTCAAGTAAACCCAAATTTGCATGGTAGAACAAGATTGAACCTCTGGTTAAGTTTTTACTTGACAACTAATCAGGTCATATTTTATTTTATTGTCGTGCTGGGAATTGAACCTAGGAGTAGGAGCACATGCTAGGCAAGTGCTCTATCACTGAGCCACATTCCCAGCCCCCAGGTTGTATTTCATGAGCCATCTTTTTGATCTTCTGGGAGGAAGGTATATTTCCTGAGAACTTGTTTTGCTCATATTATTATTTACGAAAAATAGTGGGCTCAAGGCTGACCTTTAAAATTTTAATAAGCATTACAAAACAAAACAAAACAAAAAAACCAGACCTGAGAAGCACACGTTTTTACAGTGGGGAAAATGGAAATAGTGGTCTAAGGTCTCTTTTTTATTATAATGGGATAAGGGCTAGTAATATCCCTCATCTTTAATAATAATGGCTAAAGCTTATATTTAAGCAATTATTATATGCAATTCAGAATTTTGTATGGATTTTATGACTTAATCTTCAATGCAGCTATCTGTGGTAGACACTGTTCTCATCCCTCATTTATTGATGAGGAAACAGAGGTACATTGATAATTGGAAATTGGTAACCATCAAGCTCAGATTCATATTCTGAGAGTGTCTGACACCAGAGCCTTTATCTTAATTTCAACATATATATGTGATCAACATTATGCTACAAAGTGGCCTACCTCAATAAGGACTTGGTCATGCATGTCTTTCTTCATCAATTAATATTAGCCAGTATCATCCTAACTAATGAGAGTATAAGGGGTCATAGTTATTAAGCCTTCAGCTTACTATCAAGATAGCTTCTAATTCTTGGGTTTCTGAAACTATTTTTGGTTGAATGACTTTGTGTATATATCCTGAGTACTTCACTGGCTATTTCTTACAGTTACATTTCTAGAAGTGGAATTGTGGGTAAAAATTTGTCCCCAATACAAGACCCTGTGATAGTAATACTTGGGAGCATAACATGCTTAGAATAAGTGTAAGACAGCTAGCAACAAAGGCCAATAGCAGTACAGGTGATCTGCCTTAGGAACTCACCAGAAGGTAACTGTAGGTAACACTGTTAGATCATAACCAACTTTATGGAGGCAAATGGAATTTTTCTGTAAGCCTTATACTTTTTTAGTTTTTAGTCTACTAATGGTAGCTGCAAATTGAATCTACTCGGACTCAACCAGTTTGGCATTTATCTAGAGACTGTCATGTCTAAGATAGGTTCAGATGTATAAACTGGTCTGTCAAGAAGACACAAAAGGACACAGGATCAAGATCTCATCATTCTATAACATTGCTTGGGGACCAAAAAATCAAAGATTGAATGATTTATCTCATATGTGGAAGCTAGAGAATGGGGTGGGGGGGGGGAATAAAAAAGGGGATCTCATGCAAAGAGAAGGGTGACCAATAGAGTAGAGGAAGGGGATAGAGAGGGAGGGAGGAGGAGAGGGTGTGGGGATGCACTGGGGAACTAAATCTACCAAATTATGCTATGTCCATGTACAAATATA